AAAGCTAATGTTCTCCCAAGTAAACTAGCACATAATTCACAATAAAACATTTTTTAAAAAATCATGAAAAAATGGAATTAAAATATACTGGAATTGTCCCACAAACCTTCATACATTCTTTGTGAATGAATGAAGAAACATATGACACACTTGATGGTAGAGAAAAAACTGCATAGATTGCATGCAAACAAGTACATTGAGTAACAAAAACTAAGAATGAATGTAAATTCAGACACCAATCAGAGAAGGTCTGAAGGTGAACACAATTTTAATTATAAATTCAAGTTTCTGTAACAGAATTTTCTGTTGTCCATGTACCCATATACATAGAAGTGTGTATGTATATGTGTGTGTTTGTATAAATAGACAAATAGTATATAGACAGGTAGATAAACAGATAAATAGATCTAATATACATATACTTTGGAAGAGAATCTTTTTCTTGCACAAAGTTCTGGGAGGAATTTATTATGTTTTCAATATACATGGGTCCATATAAAAAGACATTAACTAATATGAAACAATTTTTCTGAAACTATTGTGTAGAAGATGCAAAAATATTGTTCATATAATCATTTTCTATGTTGACCTTCAGTTAAATCCAATGGCAAAATGTTGAATTATAACTTCTTCTCTGGAAGGATCAAAAGCATTTCATATGCAGAGGGCAATTTCTATGGAATTTGAAGGGTTCTTACCTGTACTTTAGGAGCTTCTCAATGTTTCACTTTATTTACTAAGATATACTTACTTCTTTCACATTAATTGTAGAATTCTCTGAATATTTCACTTGATATTTAAGTTGAAATGGTACTGATGTTGAGCTGGACCAGGAAATCTTTAAGTTACCATTGTCTGTGATTTCCATATGCAAACCAAATGGTGGATCAGGCTTCACTTAAAATTAAAAACAAGATAAGAAAGAATATTGCAATTCAGACAACTTTTATAATGGTCATGTCTGAGTATAATGAAGTAATAATTAGTCTTCAGCAAATCTATGTAAAAGGTGCCTTTAGTAAAGGTCTAATGACAAAGCCTAAACCAACATATAATCCTATACACTCCTGGTGACTTATCATAGCAACCCGTGCATCTTCATTTCCTTTTCCCAAATGGTAAATACTATAAATCAGTAAATTAGAATATTTTGATGAATATGAATTTCTGTGGTTAAAAAACAAAACAAAAAACCCACTTAATTTTATTTGATGTATTGCTTGTTAAACTTATTTTAGTCTGCCTTTCTCTCTACCCAACTTGTTTCAGTGAATAATGAGAAGTAAAACACATTTTGAAGATCACTCTTTGGGAAATGTGTGATGGTGGTATGCCATGAAGTCTGTTCCGACGCACAGTGACCCTGCATGGGAGCAGAAACCTGATCTTTCTCCCATGAAACCACTGGTATTTCGAACTGCTGACCTTGAGTTTCGCAGCCCGACTTGTAATCACTTCACTATCAGAGCTCCTCTGGGAAATGTATACAATATCCAAGATCCAACAAATCTATTTATTTTGTGCTACAACAATCCAGAGCTTCTCAAATAACATGTGAAACGAACATGTCTCATGCAATAAATGTAACATTGATAGATTCTAGCTTGTCACCAGAAATGAGAATGGATTTCTTACATTAATAGGATGTTTAACTTCTGAAATGATTTCTGAGTTTAAATATATATGTGTGTGTTCATGTATGTATATGCATATGTAATTTTGTGCATAAGTGTGTGGCTACAAATAGTTTTAAAACATATAAGAAGACTTTTAAGATATTTGTAGAAACAATTTACAATTTACAAAAGAATAAATTATGGTTAATACCTATGATGAAAATCTATATAGACATTTAAAATTATATTATACTGTAGTAAAAATTTTTAATAATGCTAAATTTTGAAAAGTTTTTTAAACAATGTCTATACTAGGATTCCTGGTTTTACAACATTTTTTTTTAAAGAAAGAATGTCGAATTCCCTTTGCAAAGAGGCGCCAGACTAGGATGCCTGTTAGCACCACTCCTACTCCATATTCTGCAGGAAGTCTTAGTCAGAGTTACAATGTAAGAAAAGAAAATTAAAGGCATCCAAATTGTCAAAGAAGAAAAACTTTCATTTTTTGCAGATGATATGATCCTATAAACAGTAAGCCCCAAAGATCCACCAAGAAAATTATCAGGACTCATTGAAAGATGCAGCAAAATGGCAGGGTACAAGATCAACATACAAAAATTAGTTTGACTCATTTACTCTAATAAAGACAGCTCTGTAAAAGGAAATCAGGAAAATAATATCATTTACAATAGCCAACCAACAAAGAAGTTATTGTTCTTGTTGTTAACTGCAGTCTAGTCAGTTCTGACTCAAACAACCCTGTATAGGGTTTAAAAGGAACAGCTTGTGGGTTCAAACCACCAATCTTTTGGGTTGCAGTCCACTGCTTATCCTACAATGCAAAAATCTAACCCAAGAAACAAAAGACCTATACAAAGAAAACTACAAGAAAGCAAAAGAGACTTACATAAATGGAAGAATATACCGTGCTCATAGGAAGATTTGACATTCTGAAAATGTCAGCACTACCCAAAACTATAGCTATAATGCAATCTCAATCCAGTTCCCAATGTCAGTCTTTAAAGAGGCAGAAAAAATGTATCACAAACTTTATATGGGAAGGAAACAACTCAGATAATCAAAGCATTTCTTAAGAAGAAGAAACAAGTGGAAGGCTTCTCATTTCCTGATCTCAAAATCTACTACACAGTCACAGTGGCATACCAGTACAATGAAAGATACATAGATCAATGGAACAGAATTGAGAACCCAGAAATAAGTTCATCCATATAAAGTCATCTGATCTTTGCCAAAGGGTCAAAATACATTCAATGGAAAAGTGATAGTCTCTTCAAAAAATGGTGCTGGCAAATCTGGAAATCTATTTGCAGGAAAATGAAACAAGACCCGTATCTCATACCATATACAAAAAACAAACTCAACATGGACTTAAAACCTAAACATAAAACCTAGAACTACAAGGATCGTCAATGAAATAATAGGAACAAACTTACAGGCTCAGATACATGGTATACATACATTATCAAACTATAGCTAAAACATACAACATCAGAAGACAAAACAGATGACTAGGACCTCCTAAAACTCAGACACTTATGTGTATCAAAAGATTTCACCAAAATAGTAAGAAGATAGCCCACAAACTGGGAAAAAGATATTTGCAAAAGCATATCCAACAAGGAACTAATCTCTAAAATTTGCAGAAAACTACAACACCTCTATGAGAAATAGAAAAATAACCAAATTTAAAAATTAACAGAAGACATGAGCAGACACTTCACCAAAGACCACATTCAGATGGCCAAAAAACATGAAAAATTGTTCACTATCACTAGCCATTATTGTTATTGTTAAGCACTGCTGAGTCAGTCCCAACTCATAACGACCCTATATAGGGTTTGTGAGGCATGGCTGGTGGGTTTGAACCATCATCCTTTCAGTTAGCAGTCCAGTGCTTTATCCCAGAAAGCCACACCAGAACTTAGGCATTAGAGAATGCAAATCAAAACAACAATGACACATCATCTCACCCCAGCATTAATAGCAAAACTCAAAAGCACAGAAAACAATAAATGATGACAAGGTTGTGGAGAAACTGGGACCTTCCTATATTGCTGATGGGAACTATAAAATGGTACAACCATCTTCCCAAGACAGATGTGTTTATTCTTTCGGCAGTCCATGGTACTTTCAATATACTTCTCCAACACCAAAATTCAAATGCATCAATTATTCTGTGGTCTTCCTTATGTATTGTCCAATTTTCACATGCATTAGGCAATTGAAGGCATATATGGTTTGGGTCAGGCACAATTTAGTCCTCCAAGTGGCAGCTTTGCTCTTCAATACTTTAAAGAAATCTTTTGCAGCAGATTGGCCAAGTATTTGTCTTAATATTAGATATTGAATGCATTTTCCTTGGATCCTCTAAGCACTCAATCCCATCTAATATGAATAGTGTTTCTTTTCAAAGTATTATTCCTGATGTGTTACTGTAGGATAAGCAACGCACACAAACTACAAAGTTGGTGATTCAGCAATTCAAACTTACCTGCTGTTCCTCGCAAATCCTATATAGAGTCTCTAGGAACTGGAACAGACTCAATGGCACTTAACAACAACATTCCTCAGAAGAGTGGGCACTCTTCACGCACTCCACTTTGCATCTCATTCCCTACTCAACCTACTGAGTTCAGATCTTTTTCCTCCTCTGTCTCTTATTAAGTTCATTACACTTTTGGAAAATCCAATGCCAATCATTTGATTCATTTTGCTCCACCCATCAGCAGCATTCCACATAGCTGTTTACTCCCTCCTTCTGAAAAACTTTTTTCACATGGGTTCCAGGACACTACATTACTTTTACTCCTCCTTTCTCACTATCCCTCAGTTGTTCTGCTCCTGAACTCTAAACAGGTGATCTCATATAATTTCATAAACATTTATATGCTCACAATTTCCAAATATATATCTTTCCTTAACTCTACTCATATCAATATGTCTGGTTTCTAATAGGGATCTCAAACTTAATGTGACTTAATGTGTCCAAGAAGTCCTGGTGTGGTGCTGTGGGTTAATGTGCTGGACTGCAAAGTCTGTTTGAACCAAAAGGTCAGCGATTCAAGTTCACCAGCCACTCCTCAGAAACCCTATAGAGGGTCACTATGGGTTGGAACCAACTCGACAGCACTTAACAATAACAGCAACATCAATGTGTTCAAAATTAAACATATGCATATGAGTCCTGGTATGGCACTATAGAATAAGCACTGGACTGCTAACCATGGGTTGGCGGTTCAAACCCAACAGAAGATACACAGGAGAAAGATGATGATTTCTTTTCCAATAAAGAATTACCATCTTGGAAACCCTAGGGAGCAATTCTACTCTGTCCTATAGAGTCTTTGTGAGCTAGAATCAACTTGATGGCCATGAATTTCCTACGCAACTGAATTAATACATTAACTACTTTAAGTTTCATGTATCTGTGTTATCCACATTTGTAATTGTATACTTAAGTTAGTCAAAATACACTTTGGTAATCTTTGCACTAAGAAATGGGAATTGTTTTATTATTTGAATGTTCTTACAATCAAGTTAATATAATCAATTATTTATCTCCTTTTTTTTTTACCTCTGTTCACTATTGTTTTTCCCTGTTTTATAAGGCAAAAATTTTGGTTCATTCAAAACTATTTCCTTAGCTCCTAGAAGAATGCCCAGCATACATGAGCCTCTAAGAAATATTTATTGAAGGAAAAAGTTCAGGTTGAAAAAACTAAACAAAACAAGAACTTTTGATTCTTTTCAGATATAGTTAAGGAGATATGGAAAATTATTACCAAACGATATAGTTTTATCTATTAGACAGATCCAGAATTTAAAGAAATCCTATTATTAAAATAGTTTCAGAGATATCTATATCATTGTTAAATTTTTCTAGAAACTGCTAATAATCCTTTTGAGAACCAAAGCTCCTAGCATACAGCATTGGCCAAAAGAAGTGAGTTAGTGGAAAAACTTTAAGCAAATTTTCAACCATTTGTATGACTGACATTCATTTCTATTATCTTTTAGTGTACAACTTACCAATATTTATTGGCTGAACTGACATTACAGGTGACTGAAAAATTACTCCGCCAGATGTGATTTCCAAAAACATAAGGTAAGTATAGTTGAGTTTGGAAGTTGGCACAGGTACGTGACATTCACAACATTCATGGGCACTGCAGTTGCATTTCACAAGTTTAAAATTATCTTTTTGAGGGGGCAGAGATAAATCTTCTAGCATTTCAGGTCTATAATAAAGAAGTAAGAGCAAAAATGTTAATACAGCTAGCTAGGTTTAAAAACAATGACACTAGGACCAAATTAAAATAATCTATTATGAACCGACTCCATGGCACATAGCCACCACCATTCTGGACCCTCATCTTAAGGAACATTCAGAAAAATAAAAAATACATACCACATATCAAACCAAACCAAACTCATTGCCACTGAGTCAATTCCAACTCTGAATTGTGTTTCCAAGCCTAATCTAAACCATGATATTTTCAATCACCTTATACAAGTGTGAAAGATGGACATTGAATAAACAAGATAAAAAATTGATGTTGTTGTTAAGTGCCATCATTTCGGTTCCAACTCATAGTAACTCTATATAGGGTTTCCCAGAAGTGGCTGGTGAGCTTGAACCACTGTCCTTGCAGCTCAAACTGACTTTGCAGCATAGCATATTAACTGGTAGTGCCACATCAGGACTCCAAAGATGAATTAATGCCTTTGAATTATGGTGTTGGCAAAGAATGCAGTGCTATGAATTGTTTGGTGTGACTCTTCTAGCCAGGTTCTTTGCAATTCCCACCAAATGACTGAATGGGACCAAGAAGATTGAGTGTATTTTTTTTTCCTGGTGGGTCTGGGCAAGAGAAGGTGAGGGAAGATGCTGATAGGGTTATATGAGTGATTGTTAACAAGGTTAATCAAGATTGCAAAAACTTAAAATTCTAACCTGGAGATTGACCAGTTTTGCCCTTTTGCTGGGTTGAAAATAAACCATCTTAGAAGCAAGAGGGGAGATCTCACTATCAACAAGAAGAGCCAAGAATGGAACACATTCTCTGGTACTCAAGATTCCTGTATGTTAAACCTCCTCCATGTCACTCCATGTGATAGCATAGGAGTGGCAGAGGAGCAGCAGTAGAAGCAAGAGCCAGAGTACCAGGCGAAGCAGTGGACATCTTGATCCGTGGAGCAAATAAAAGCTAAGTCTTTTGGGGTAGGAAGCTCTCTTGTGAAGTGGAGTACCTCCAGGAACTTAATTAAGAGAGCTACATTTTGGATTGAGACCTCGGTGTCCAGGGACTCCTGAGCCCATGGACAGAGACATAGTCACAGAGAACTAGAGCAGAGAGTGAAGTGTCCAGCTGATGTGGAGTTAGGGGAGATGTACAAGAATGCCCATACCTACAGATAGTGAATGTCCATGCCTACAGATAGTACCCATTTGACCTAGCTTCAATGACTGGATCATCAGAACCCTACTAAAGAAAGAAAGAAAGAAGAGGAAGACGAGTATAATCCGCTACAGTTTGATGAACTTGTCCTATACTTACAGATGTAGTAGCTTAAAAGAGGGAACGAATCTTTACAGCAAGGATCATTCCCACCTCCTCTCTACACAGGGTTGACAGGGATGGGCAACTTAGACATTGGCTATCCAAAATGGGTTGGGGGGAGGACAACAAAGGGACAAAGTGACTGGCTTACAAGTTTTCAAGAGGGAGCTTACTTTCAGAAGGTGCATGGAAGGTAGAATCTCCACTAAGGGATTTCCATCCTGTCTAGATGGGACTGGTGAAAGGAGATGGGGATAAAACCCTTATGGTTCAATAGTGAATAATTGCTATCAGAACCAATTGTGAATGTTGCAAATGTTACATTTTGTAACAAAAGGAAGGGAGTGGTTGATCTTGCAGTCCAGGAACAGAGGACCCTGGGACCATTGAGGGAGAAGAGGAGACCCTATCCAGAGAAGCAGCAACACCAGAGATGGAGGCAGAGATGATGACGTGGAGAGATGGAGCGGCTGAGGACTCTAGACTCAAGGAAGGAGAGGGGCTGTGTGTTGGTGGCCATGGGGCTGGCATGCAGGGTATAACCTTTGGTTGTTTGAATGGTTATATATTCCTGAGTACTTCAGTGTACATCCAAAAAAAAAAAAAAACAAACAGAGGGA